TATATATATATATATATATATATATATATATATATAGGGGAGTAGTTTCAAGTTGAAGTTTTAAAATTATTTTAAAATAAAAAAATTAAAAAAAGATGATAAACGAGAATAAGAAAATATATACTTATGTTATATTAAAAGAGAAGTAGTAAATATGTTAATCCAATTGACAAGTTAATAAAAAGTCACATTAATTGTCACACTCCTTTTCTTACCCCAAATAGATATATGTTATGGATAGCTGTGGGTTAAAAAAGTTTTTCCAATTAAAGTGACAAATTTGAGTAGGGATTATTTTATTTACAGAGTCGCCACTTGAAATTGATTTTTGGATGTTCCAAGTCACCTTTATTTGAATCCCTAGTCAAAGGAAGATTTGACTCTATTATTATTGGGTTGCGAAAACAAAGTCCGGGTAAGAAGTTCTGTTGACCGGGGAGAAGGTGTAAGGAATTCCCCGAGTCCCGTGGTTCTAGCACGGTCGTTTTTATTGACTAAAATTGGCTTGAATTAATTTTTGGATAACAACTCTACTATCTTTAGAGTATGCAAATTGAACTCCTAGCTGGGCTAAGCGGTGAACTTCTATCACCAGAGTTCTCTTATCTACCTCAATCATGAATTATATTTTCCACACTTGATTATCTTCTTAAGCTCTTCCTGAAAACACTTATAGTATTATTGTGAACTAAGCCTTTGACCTGTACTCCAAATTTTAGAGCCTCGTGCGATGACACTAGCCCCATAACACATAAAGGGGCATGATTTTATAGCTTTTCTATTCACTTTATCATCAATAACTGAGCGCGGTGATCAGTCTACTCACTTTGTGTTTCTTACACATGCTAGACATATTCATTGTGATAATTATACAATTTTTTCTTATTACCAAGCTGATTTTCTTTTTCATACCCATGCTAATTATTCGGGTTTCAAATCTCTAACTGGACTTACTGAAAATTTTCACATCACCCCTTAGACCAAAGATCTTATACTTGCGGATCCTTCTCTTTTTGTTGGATCCAAATAACTTTCCTTATTTTCTGCAATTCTTTGCACTCTACGTCAATGACGACTCATCTTCCAACTTACTTCTGAACTAGAAAAACTAAATTATTTACATAACAGAAAGCTAATGTATTCACAACTATCATAAACGATCTTAATAATTTAACTCTGCTCACAGTGTCAATCTTGGAGAAACCACATTCCGATAATTCCTAAAGGCTACTCTTCTATAGTTTGCTCTCTCACCATTAGTTGATTTTTTCCACTGCCACTGTACTTCGGGTTTAACTTAAACTCTTCGGGTTCTAACATGCATTCGGTGTTTCAAACGGTTACCCACTCACTAGTGTTAACTTTACTAAGTAAGTCAAATTATACCTCTACTAGATCTGCTGAAATTGCTAATTTGTTGTATCTACTCAAAACTTACTTACTATCCTTTAACTAACCACCTGCTAGCATCATATTTTCTTCTCCTGCTTTGAATAACTAAAGTGAAGCATAAGGTTTATCCTAACTTCCCTCATCATCTGACCATATTCTTTTGCCGTACACTATCATTCTTTTTGAACTATGTACATCGATCACACTTAGGGAAATTTCATTTGTCTTAAACAAAATTGGGATATCTAACCCCTAACTTTCTATATACTTTAAAATCATATCATATTATAAACATTCGGGGTAAAAACTTAGTCACATAACTTAAGGGGAATCCTCATATACTTTATCTCACGATAATATCTACTTCTTATAGTAACATACTAAGGTGGTACTTTCTAATTCTAGTATGAATAAATACGAACAACTTAAAATCATTCCCTGAAATTCAATATCGGTAGCTGTTGATTCTCATGTCATACATCATGTCTTCTTAGTCATATGCATAAGTCGTATGAAAAATACATCTCTGGTAATATCAAACATTTGTGACTGCTAGGAATTTTGCCCTTAGTCTCTTTTTTTCCCTCCCAAAACTATAATGACCAATTCTAGGCCATTTGCGGTCAAATTCTTAACCTGCTACACTGTAGGGTCTGACATCTAAAAATCATCATCCAACTTGTGGCTCAATTGCTAAGAATTAAAAATAAAATTGTTCTGTGAGGTAAAATGCATACGGATACACTACCATACACAAAACATGTCCTTCAGAGATACCATCATCTTATAACTCACTTCCTACACAATCCGGCGAGTCTTGGTCTTAATTCAGACCTAAAACATGTGATGCTTTCACTATAATCACTGTTCTTATATTTTCTTTTAGCACCCGCAGGCATCACCGTATACTCCCAAGTTAGCAGAAGTTGGATACACCGAAAATTGGAGATCTGGTAACTGAATAACAAATAACTGGCATACTGAATAACCATAAACCTGCTAACCAAAAGACTGTATAACTGGTAACTGAGTCAAACTAATAACCATAAAACATAATGACTGCTTTTGTACTTTCTGATAAGGTTATGTTCTAATCTGTACTACTATCCATTGCATCCCACTTTCAACATCCTCTCCAATCTCATTTATTACCAGCATGTACTCCATAGTAATACCACAATAGGCAAATCATCCTTTCTAGAACCTTAGACTTTTCTTGCTTGTTTCTTGGCCATTCGATACGTATGGAATTAGATAGTAAGAGAAGATTACATATTGCTCTAAGTTTCATGGCACGATCTAGAGTAGAAAAAAATGAGACAATCCTGGATATCTTGGTAGTTAACCACTTATATGAGTAGTCGGTACACACAGATAAAGGAAACTCCACTGGACACGGCTTCATAGACTCCCTAGGACTCTTGAACCTAGTGCTCTGATACCAAGCTTTGTCACGCCCCGAACCTGGGCCTGGACGTAACACGGCACCCGGTGCCTGACTACTGTGACAGAGCCAACCAACTGGCTAGCTGAATCAACATGTGACATCATAACATACTGAATGCGGAAGATAAACTAACATATGCTGATATACTGAAAGTCTGAATGATATAAATGAAAGTGCGGAAACACTAATACAATTCTGAAACATATCTGTAGCAAACATTGCTTAACACAAAAAACTTGTGACTTTGTCTAGCTGTTACTCTAGTCTAAGAAGCCTCTAATGAAGCACTGCAAACACTGACTGTCTGAAAATACTAAAGAATGTAAGGTAATGATAATGCCCCGAAAGAACTGGGGATCACCAAATAGCTGGTACGAGAATCTTAGCGCTCTGAATTGTCAACCTGTAAATCATTACCTGCATCGTGAGATGTAGGCCCCGGGCAAAAGGGACGTTAGTACATTTGAATTGCACTGGTATGTAAAGCAACTGAAAGAAAGAACTATAAATTCTGAAACTAACACTGAGCTGATTATTGAGAATTGATAATTGATAACTGAAAAAAATTAACTATTGAAACTGAAACTGAAATGATAACTGATAACTGAATTGAACAAATGAAGTAAGGATATGAATACTCCCTCTTCTGAATGATGAACAACTTGTTTATCTGAATAAGCTACGGCCTCGTGCCCAATATATATGTGCACAAGCTACGGCCTCAGGCTCAAGTATACGTATACATAACTACGATCTCAGGCCCAAAAATTCATAAAGCATCAACTACGGCCTCAGGCCCAAACATGCATAAAGCATAAACTACGACCTCAGGCCCAAATACAGGTGTTCAACATTCAGGGATTTAAAATCAAAAACTTTGAATCATACTGTAATACATGATACTAAAATACTAAATCACACTGAGTTACATGATACTGGAATACTGAATCACACTAAGTTACATAATACTGGAATACTGAATAGGACTAGACTAAGATATGTATTCTTGAACTGGTTATGAACACTGAAACTTCAATTGTTTATGACATACTGAGTAATCTATGCTGAGACTCGGGGGCATCAAAACCAAGTCTATATTGAATACGCACCAAGCTCATAACGTTCAGAATGAAAGTTATGAATGAGTTATGAAGCTAGAGAATAAAGTTCTGCAACTATTCGAGGAACTAAGCTTAACTATATTTCAGAGGTAATTAATAACGTTGTAAAAGAAACGTAGTGTAGGGAGAATCATTAACATTCCCAAACACAGAGAGTTAACCTCACATACCTTAACTTCCTTCTCTTGAGCGTAATACAACATTCGCCAACCCTTTCAACTTTAGTCTATATCAATACAAGTCAAAGGAATTCCATATTAGCAATAATACTCATGTTTTGGTCACTTAGGTATTTTATCAAACACTTGGTGAGTATAAAGCTTCATATCCCTCATTAATGGTGTTTCTTCACCCAATAACCTATTCTCTTGCTTCTAGATAAATTCTAAAACCTCAAATTGCTATAATCAATACCATTCTTTATTACCCGTAAGGTAAACAATACCCTTAACCAATAATCAAAAATCAACAACCCAAACCTACAATTGTCCATGCTTTTATATCAAACCCATCAACTCATATCTCATGAACTAGAGTCTATAATCATTAATCCAATGCTATAATCAATTAGAGGGTGAAAACATTACCTTTTTGGAAGAAATCTTGCAAAACCCTCATTTGAGTTCTTTAAGAAATCTCTTGAAGATCTAAGTATTTTATGTGTAGATTCATCAACACTAGTGTATAAATTATGGAATTCACACCAAGATAATGGGGATTGCTTACCTTGAATATGGGAGGGGTTGGAGGTATTGAGAGAGTGGAGGAAAACCCTAAAATTCGTCCAAAAGAAATGGGGGAAGTGAACCCCCAAATTTGCTTAAAAAGACCCTAGCTGGGCCGCGCCCAGTCTGGCGAAGTGAGCCTCCCTTCGCTGTCCAGCACCTTCAAGGGAAGGCAGGATCCGTGTCCGGTCATCTGATTTTGGTAATTTGATCATAACTTCTTGTAGGAATGTCCGAATGACGAACGGTTTAAAGCGTTAGAAACCAGAATCAAAGATCTTTCATTTGATAGGTTGTGCATCACATAACACCTTATATATCTGTAGGTATTCTCGTGCAGAGTTTGGTCTTGTGCCTACTCCTTTGGAATTTTCTTCTATCATGTAATTTCCAACTTGGCTTAGACTTAGGTCTCTCCTTGGACCCAAATCACTTATGATATTCCTTGTACACTTATTATCTGTAGGTATTCTCGTGCAAAAGGTCTTGTGCGTACTCATTTGGAATTTTCGTCTATCATGTAATTTTCCAACTTGGCTTAGACTTAGGTCTCTCCTTAGACCCAAATCACTTATGATATTCCTCATACACTTATTATCATATCCCATTGATAACCATCACATTAATACTCATTTAATGCATCCTTAACTTATTCAAATTTACGGGGTGTTACAATTGTAGCCAGTTTTGCAACCATTTCTTTGCTTCGCTTTTGACGCAGGATTAGACCGAAAGGGACTCAAAGAAAAATTATGGGTAAAAATAGAATAATAATTGAAAGTGAAAAAGAATTGTGTTAAGCAAAAGGTGTCCCTTTCGGGGAAAGGATAGGGAGACTTATCTGGAGGTATGTGCCGACTTCAATGAATCTTGACATGCATTTTGGACTGGACGCCTGATCCGTCTGAGCTGTCTAATTCTCAAAATCCGTCGCAAATGTTCATCTTGAAATTTTCTTGGTTGTGCTCATGCCGGGGTATAGAAGACCCTCATTAGGCTAGTAGCGCCCTTTGCAGGTTTTCGCTAACTAACCTCTCTCATTTCTCTACTCACCGTCGCCTTATGGTGCCCATCTAGGTTATCACCAATAAGACTCTCTCATTTCTCTGCTCATTGTCACCTTACAGTGCCCATATGGGTTTTCACCAATAAGACTATTATTTCTTTTTCTTTTTTTCTTTTCTTGTCTCTTTTGTTTTTACTAAGATATTGCATGCGGAAGGTTGCTTAACGCCCTTGGCATGGGGACTTCAAACATTCTCAAAGATTGATTAGAAGTTCCTAATAAGGATAAGGCAAAAAGAACCTTGAACTTAATTACAACTTTTGTAACCATTTTTATATGAAAAACCATTAAATAAAACAAACTTCTGCCCCAGTTTTGGAGTATTAGGAATATGGATATTTTTTGTGATGGGACCGAATCCAGGGTAAGGCTGCCTACGTATCCTTTCGGAATCAGGTCGGGCGTAGTTCGATGACTCAGAAGATTTGTTGATGATATTTTTTCGTCTTTTTTTCTTCTTTTTTTTTTCGCTTTTACAAGTACAAAGGTTCTAAAAAGGGGAAAACAAATAAGACAAATACGGCTCAACAGGGTTAACAAAAGGGTGACACATATTTGAGATAACGAGCACTGATAGCCTTTGTTATCTCGATCGGAGAAAATCATGCGTGAAAGTTCCACAATGGGTATATATCAAACATAATTTGACTGCATCTGCGTTAATAGTCATGTCTGGTACCCATCCTTCTTCATCTACCAAGTGCAAGGCCCTTTTTGGTAACACTTTTTTGATGATGTAGGGTCCTTGCCAATTTGGGGCGAACTTTCCTTTAGCTTCTACTTTGTGTGGAAGAATGCGTTTCAGAATGAGTTGACCTACCCCGAAGTACCTTGGATGCACTTTCTTGTTGTAAGCGCGTGCCATTCTTTGCTGGTATAACTGGCCAAAACACACTGCTGCTAGCCGCTTTTCATCAATCAGCATAAGTTGTTCTAATTGGGTCTTGACCCACTCAGTGTCTTTAATCTGCGATTCCATAATGATTCGGGTAGTGGGAATTTCGACTTCAGCGGGTATTACAGCTTCCGTTCTATATATCAGCAGACAAGGAGTTGCAACAACAGATGTGCGAGTAGTCGTGTGGTATCCCAAAAGAGCAAAAGGCAACTTTTCATGCCATTTTCGGGAACCTTGTATCATCTTCCTAAGAATCTTCTTGATGTTCTTGTTCTCCACTTCAACGTCTCCATTGGCTTTTGGGTGGTAAGGGGTAGAATAGCGATGCACAATTTTAAATTGCTCGGATACCTCCTTCATCAAATGATTATTTAGATTGGCTGCATTATCAGTGATAATGGTCTTTGGGATACCAAAGCGATAGATGATATTGGAATGAACAAAGTCTACCACTGCTTTCTTAGTGACTGCTTTGAAAGTGACGGCCTCCACCCAGTTGGTGAAGTAATCAATTGCAACCAAAATGAATCTATGCCCATTTGAAGCCTTTGGCTCGATTGGCCCAATAACATCCATTGCCGAATCAATGAAAGGCCAAGGAGAGAACATGGGATGAAACTCTGAAGGAGGCGAGTGAATCAGGTCACCATGAATCTAGCATTGGTGATACTTGCGAACAAAACTGAATCAATCTCGCTCCAGAGTAAGCCAATAATACCCTGCCCCCAGAATCTTCTTCACTAAAACATATCCATTCATGTGAGGTCCGCATACCCCCTAATGCACTTCACTCATGGTCCACTCAGCTTCTATAGCATCTATGCATCTCATCAAGTTTAAATCTAGGGTCCTTTCGTACAATACTTCCCCATTCAGGAAGAAGCCACCGACGAGCCGCCTTATAGTTCTTTTTTGATCTCCTTTGGAATGCTTTGGGTATTATCTTATTTTCAGGAATCGTTTTATGTCATGATACCATGGTTCACCATCTGGTTCTGTCTCAATTGTATTGCAGTAACCGTGTTGATTCCGAATTTTGATTTCTAGTGGATCAATATGAGTGTTGCCTGTAGGGGTGTTCATGATTCGGTTTGGGTCGGTTTTTCCCTAAAAAGAAACTAAACCAAGTCAGTCGATTTTTCATATATTAGAACCAAACCAAACATTAAGTCGGTTTTTTATCGATTCGGTTTTTTTTCGGTTTTTCATTTTTTTTTGGTTATTTGTCGGCTTTTTCTTAAATATGAGACATACACTACCAAACGCATATGTCGGTGACTATATTTTCAACGTAATACTATCAAATCAATTGCTTATTGAGAAATCTATCATTTACCAAGATATATTAATGATAATTGAATCAAATAAGGATGAATAATTTAAGTACTCAATTAAAAATTGATTATTTTTAACAAGAAATAAATTCTTGTACTTAGCAAAAGAAAAATACCAATCAAACTAGAATGTAAAGGCAAAGAATTAGATGATTATAACAGCAAAGAACTAGACTAAAAATACCAATGACTAATATGTACCATAAAATTTTAGAAACTTTATATAAAAATATACATATATATAGGTGTAATAATAAATTTAAATAGATACTTTTATAGTCGGTTTGGTTCTATTTTTTCGATTATTTTCTGATTAAAACCAAAACCAAACCAATTTTAATCGGTTTCTAAAGTTCAAAACCAAAACCAAATCAAACCAAACCTAAAAAGTATCAATTTTTTTGGTCGGGTTTGGTTCGATTTTCAATTTGGTTCGGTTTTTTGAGTTTTTATGAACACCCCTACTTGCTTGGATAAGGGAGCATCGAGGCTAAAGTAGCCAAGGCATCAGCTAGCTCGTTGTGAGACCTGGAATGTACCTAAACTCGATGGATTTGAATTTTTTGCTCAGGTTTTGCACACATTGTCTGTATGGAATAAGCTTGATGTCTCGAGTCTCCTATTCGCCTTGGGCTTGCTGGATAAGCAAATCGAAATCTCCCATAACCAATAGTTCATGCACATCTAGATTGAGGGCCATTTACAGACCCATGATACAAGCTTCATATTCTATAGTATTATTGGTACAGAAGAATCGAAGTCGGGCTGTGCATGGTAATGTTGTCCGATATGTGAGATAATGATTGCCCCGAGCCCAAATCTCTAGATACTGACAGCCCCATCAAAATACATTTTCCATACATGGCTGTCGTCTAGAACTACTTCCTTTATTGAGTTGACCTATTTGTCTAGGAAGTATGTGCTAAGTGGCTTGTACTCATCATCAACTGGATTCTCTGCCAAATGATCTGCCAAAGCCTGTGCTTTCATCGCGGTGCGAGTGGCATAGACGATGTCGAACTCTGTGAGCAGGAATTTCCATTTTGCGAGCCTGCCAGTGGGCATTGGCTTTTGGAAGATGTACTTCAAAGGATCCATTCTGGACACGAGGTAAGTAGTGTAGGCCAAAAGATAATGCCTAAGCTTTTGAGCGACCCAAGTCAAGGCACAACATGTCCTTTCTAGAAGGGTGTACTTAACCTCATAATTGGTGAACTTCTTGCTCAAATAATATTTTGCTTGTTCCTTTTTTCCCGTCACATCATGTTGCCCGAGAACACATCCGAAGGACTTATCCATCATCGATAGATATAAAAACAAAGGCCTACCAGGTTCAGGTGGGACTAGTACAGGGTGCTTTGACAGATAATCTTTGACCTTGTCAAAAGCTTTTTGGCAATCATCTGTCCACTTGATAGCAGCATCCTTTTCAGCAACTTAAAGATGGGCTCGCACGTGGTTATGAGCTGAGAAATGAAACTACTAATATAGTTCAACCTCCTGAGCAAACTCATGACTTTTGTTTTGTTCTTTAGGGGTGGAAGATCTTGAATGGACTTTATCTTAGATGGATCGAATTCGATGCCTTTCCGGCTGACTATAAAACCGAGGAGTTTCCCAGATGGAACCCAAATGCACACTTGGCTGGATTGAGCTTAAGGACATACCTTCAAAGCCGTTCGAAGAACTTTTTCAAATCACGCATGTGATTGGCCCATATCTTTGATTTTATGATGACATCATCGATATATACTTCAATCTCTTTGTGCATCATGTCGTGGAAAATGTTGGTCATGGCCCTCATGTAAGTTGCCCCTGCATTCTTCAAATCGAATGGCATGACCCTGTAACAATAAGTACCTCATGGAGTGGTGAAAGTGTTCTTTTCTGCATCATCCTCATCCATTAGAATTTGGTGGTACCCAGCATAGCAATCCACAAATGACTGTATCTCATGCTTTGCGCAATTATCTACAAGAATGTGGATGTTTGGTAAAGGAAAATTATCCTTTGGACTTGCTTTGTTCAGGTCCCTGTAGTCAACACAAACTCTAGTTTTTCCATCCTTCTTTGGCACATGCACAACATTTGCCACCCAGGTGGTGTATCGGACAGCTCTGACCACATTGGCGCTAAGTTGTTTCATTATTTTCTCTTTGATTTTGTCACTCATGTCTATTTTAAATTTTAGTTGTTTTTGTTGGACTGGTGGAAAATCAGGATACACAAGAAGCTTTTGAACCACTAGGTCAGCACTTAAACCTGGCATATCATCATAAGACCAAGCAAACACATCTCTGTATTCAAATAAAAGTTGAATCAAGGCATCTCGGGTTTTTTGTTCAATGTGAATGCTTATCTTTGTTTCTCTAACTTCTTCATGACTTCCGATATTAATGGGCTCAGTTTCATTGAGGTTGGGCTTAGGCTTGTTTTGAAATTTTTCCAACTCTCTTTTTATTTTCTCAACAGCCTCAGCTTCATCATATTTAACCTCTTGATGCATTATTTTGAAATTAGAAAGCCTTTTAAGATCTGGGCGTGAATTTCGCATGCATGTCATGTTATTAAAGCCGGCATTAACAAAATTGAAATGGAAACAAAATGACGGGAATTAGGAAAAGGAAAAGATACAAAACTTAATGCAAAACGGAACTGCATTTGAATTTGAAAGGATAGAAGGGTCAACATCAAACCAAAACAATAATACTGAGATGTTTGGATTACAACCCTGAAAGTAACCCAAAATAAAAAAAGAAGCTGCAAAAGCAAACTACCAAGACTCCTTCCTCGTGGGGAGAGGAGTTGCTTCCCAGTTGTTGAGCATGGTGTCTGGGCCAATTAGTTGCATATCGGCACGACTAGTGCCTTCACCACCCTGGATCATATTCACTTCAGAAAACATCTGGCTGAGTCCATGGCAAATTTCATCAATATTTTCCTAAATCGAGGAATTTTAACCCTCTTGGAGTCGTGGCTTGGCAAAAGTGTAGAAAATGTGAGGGATAGGTTGTTGCAAGACCCATCCATGCTTTTTGCGATGCTTGGCTTTGTCTTTGTCTGCTAGTGTCGGCCTGAAGCCTAAACCAAAAGTACCCTGGTTACTGAACAGAGAAATGGGCTCCGAAATTCCTTGCAATGATGCCCTTAAGCCTTTTCCTGGCTCATAACCTTGTCTCAGCATAAGTACAACCACCATTACAGATGTGGCAGAAAGACGAGGATGGAGAATGGTCTTTCCATCCTCAACACGGTCCACAACAACCACTTCAAAAGCCTGATAGATAATTGACTCACACCCTTCCTTGGCCTCAATACAGGGGATTAACGAGTGTTTATAAATGGAAGACTCGTCTTCCTCGTGAACAATAATTTATTGCCTGTCATGTTCGAATTTGTGCATCTGATGCAAGGTGGATGGCACAGCTCGAGTCGTATGGATCTATGGCCTTCCAAGAAGAAAGTTATAAGAAATGTCCATGTCCACTACTTGGAAGACAATTTCAAAGTCAACTGGCCCAATCATCATGGTGAGGTTGATCTCCCCGATGGTATCTCTCATTGAGCCATCAAAAGCCCGGATGCGGACATTGCTGGGTCGGATTCTGTCTGTATTGATCTTCATGCTTTGCAAGGTGGAGAGAGGACATACATCTACGCTCGAGCCTCCATCAACTATGACTCGCTTTACGTAGTGCCTCTCACATTTAACAGTCAGGTGTAAAGCCCTATTGTGCCCGACTCCTTCTTCGGGGAGCTCATCATCAGTAAAGGTGATTCTGTTCACCTCAAAAAATCTGTTGGCCATCTTCTCTAACTGATTCACTGTGGTCTTCTCTAAGACATGTGCCTCGTTTAGGATCTTGATTAGTACACGAGCATGCTCTTTTGAATGTATGAGCAGAGATAGTAGAGAGATTTGGGCAGGAGTCTTTCTCAGCTGGTCAATGATTGAGCAATCCTGAACATTCATCTTTTTCAAAAACTCTTCCGCCTCTTCTTCAGTGACTGGTTTCTTTATTGGCA